TGAAAAAAATGTTTCCTTTTTACCTCATGAGTTAGTTATGTGGGAGAGTTTTCAAACTTCTGAGAAAATCTGAGAAGCAGCACATATGTTGATACAGCTTTCTTGAAACCCTTGTAGTATTTTTAGTTCTGGGAAAATCTAGTTCATTTTGGGAAGCTGTAGTTTCAATCTCTTAACCCAGTGGAGAAGGAGTCTCTCTCCCATCGCTGGCATTCCCATATTGATCACTAGAATCGAGATGATGTCAACTTAATGATTCCTGAAAAACATAAAACATTTTAATTGCCTGATGGATTATTTGGAAAGTACAAATGCAAGAAAAACAAAAGCAAAATAACCCATAATATTGTTAGGAATGGAAAGCAGGAGCCTTAAACATTAGCATATTGTTTTGGTTTTTCATTTTTCTTTTTGTTTTCTTTTTTATAAGAGGATACTTTAAAAAGGACTAAGAGATATGTTTGTTTTGGTACAAAACCTTCTGAAATCCATGCTTTTCTTTTTTTAACATTAATTGTTTTTATTGGAAAGGTAGATATACAGAGAGAAGGACAGACAAAGATCTTCTATCTGTTGGTTCACTCCCCAAGTGGCCACAATGGCCAGATCTGAGCTGATCAGAAGCCAGGAGCCAGGAGCGAGTTGTTTCTTCTGGGTATGCCATGTAGGTAAAGAATCCAAAAGCTTTGAGCCATCCTCTACTGCTTTCCCAGGCCACAGGCAGGAAGCTGGATGGGAAGTGGAGCACTGAGACACATATTGACATCCATGTGGAATCCTGGTGCATACAAGGCAAGGATTTTAGACCCTGGGCTGCTGTGCCAGGCCCGATCTATGCTTTTTGTGCGTGCAGGTGTTGCAGGCACCAACTTAACCCAACTGGCCACACCACCAGCACCGTGTTCACTGATTCTGATGGCTCTGTAGTACTGATGCATGTACTGTGATAGTCCCCCAACTCACTTTGAAAGGTAATTTTTTTTAGACCCACCACAATAGAAATGATTCTGTGAATGCCAGTTTAATTTAGGAAGGATTTCTAGATACACAATTCATGGATCAAAAATCATTCATGCTTTTGCTAATAAATATAATCAAATTTTATTTTAAAATGTTTAAGCGAATGAATATTTCTAAGCTTTCTCTTTCTGTTTTTTGTTTGTGTTTAGATCACATTGAGAGCTTGTTTTGTGTGGTGGATAAACCATTGCTTGGGCCAGTTACATTCAACAGTCAGGTACTTAGCTCAAGTCTAGGCTCCTTGGCTTCTGATCTAACTTCATGCTAACACAACTTATGGGAGGCAGCAGACGATGATGATTCAAATACTTGCGTCTTTGACCCTAAGCACGGGTTCCAGGTGGAGTTGCTAGGCACCAGGCTTCAATCTGGGCTAGTCTTGGCTGCTGTGGACATTTGGGAAGTTAGCCATCAGGGATTGTCTCCGTCTCTTTTACACTCTCATTCTTGCCCTGCATTTCAAACAAATACAGATAATAAACATAGACTATAGAAAAAAAATCCATTAAAATGTATTTATTTGTTTGAAAGGCAGAGTTAGAGACGAAAACAAGGTCTTTCCATTAACTGGTTTAATCCCCAAATGGCTGTAACAGCAAGAATTGTGGCAAAAAAGATTGCATTCTTTTTATGGCTGAGCAATATCCCATAGCATATGTATATATGTATGTGTATACATTTTCTTTATCTAGCCATTCATTGACGAGTGTCTTGGTTGATTTCATATCTTAGCTATTGTGATTAGGGCTTCAATAAATTTAGGGCTTTAGATAACTTTCATATGCTGATTTCACTTTATTTGGGACAAATCCTATGGGTAAGATGGCTGGATCATTAGATGGGACATCTATTTTCAGATCTCTGAGTACTCTCCAGACTGTATTCCATAATGGTTATACTGGTTTACATTCCTATCCACAGTGGATTAGAGAGTCTTTCCCCCATATCCTCAACAGCATTTACTGGTTCTTGATTTTCAAATGATAGCTATTATAACTCAGATGATTTTTTTTATGCATTTCCCTGATAGCTAGTGAACTGGAGCATTTTTTTTCATGTGTCCATTGGTCATTATATTTCATTCTTTGAAAATTGCCTGCTTATGTCTTTTGCCCATTTATTAGTCGGTTGTGTTGTTGTTGAGTTGCTTGAGTTGTTTATATATTCTGTATATTAATCTAGTACCACTTGGGATGCCAGCCTACTCACAGCTGCCAGCATGCCAGAAAATTGGACTTGGGAACTCATGTGTGTGTGTGTGTGTGTGTGTGTGTGTGTGTGTGTGTGTGTGTGTTCATGGGTTCTGGGCAGGCCGACAGGACCCCTGGCTGGCACGCTGTCTCCCCAGAAAACTCGGCGCATGGATCTGCATGCTTGCAGGAATGGGAACTGAGGATTCCTCAGGTGCTGGAGGTCAGCTCCAGAAGAGTTCAGAGCTCAAGAAGCGCGTATGGAGCCAGAGAATAGAAAAGACATGGGCACTGTCCCTTGGTGCCCTCCCGTAACAGCTCAAGAAGCTGTCCTTTTCACTTGCTCAGGCACATCACAAGCCTCTGCACAAACAGTTGATTGTTCTATTTTTGCTTCATGGCTAAATGGGTGTGCACAGATGTTTGATTATTGTATTTTTTACTTTATGGTCAACCAGGTGCTCTTAAGGATAATTCTGTAAATTACCGTAATCGTTTTCTTCAAAGGAAGCCACTATTCATTCTTCAGTAGTAGCCATTGGATCACAGCCAGCACTCCTAGGCCAAGGCACATGTGATTACCTACTAATCAATAATACATTCCTACTACATTTCTGTTTCAACAACTTGCCCAAAATGGGTGGTAATTTGGTCCTGTCATTTTACAAATGGGTTGTTCATTGATTTAGTCTTCTGTTGTTATTTCACTGGGATGTTTTTTCTCGCATTTGCCTTTGGTTTTGGTGGGTGCTATTCCTTTTCTCTGTCAAGAGAATATCTTCGAGTGACATATGTAGGGCAGGTTTGGAAGAGGCATATTCATTTAACTTATCTTTACTGTGGAAGAATTTTATTTCGTTTTCAAAGACAAAACAAAGCTTTGCTGGATATATTACCCTGGGACAACAATCCTTTTTCTTTGAGAATCTGGAATATGTCACTCCATTCTCTTATTGCCTATAGAATTTCCTGTGAGAGGGCTCCTGTGAGTTTAATTAGCATCCCTTTATGTGTCAGTTGATTTTTTTTTTCATGTGCACATCTAAGGATCTCTTCCTGATGTTCAATTGAAGAGAGCTTGATTATCATGTGTCTTGTTGCAGATCACTTTTGGTCTACCCTGTTGGGAGTTCTGTGCCTTTGCTGGATGCTGTTTCTCAATTCTTTCTCTAGCTTAGGGAATTTTTCCCTCATTTTTTCATTCAATACTCTTTGAACTCAGCATCTCTTTCTGCACTCTCTGGGACTCCCAAAACTCTTATACTTGATGTTTTAATAGTGTCTTTCAATTCTTGAATACGTTTTTTTTGCTTGATCCAGCTCTGCTTCCAGCTTTTTGTTTGCTTCCCCCTGGTGACAGGAAATATCTTCCAATTCTGAGATTCTTTCTTCTGCCTCCTTCTTTCTGTTTTGGAGACAAGCCACTGTACTTTGAATTTGCTTCAATGTATTCTTCATTTCTGATATATCAGCTTTCATTGAATTCATTTATAGCACAACATATTCCTTAAATTTCTTGAATGCCTGCATAACATGTTTCTCATTGTTGATAAGAAGTTTCGTAACAAGGGTTTTGAATTCTGTATTCCCCATTTTCTTGATGTCTTCCTCAGTGAACTCTGAGGTTGGCATAGGGTTTTGCTTCTTGGCAGGGGAATCTTCAGTGATATTCACTGTGCCTGTTTCTCTTCTTTTGCTCTTGGTCATTGTACTTCTGGTTATCATATTCTCCTCCTTGGGGCAGGCTTTTAAGCTGTGTCACCTGCAGGTCTACAGTGCAGTTTTACTTATTGCAGCTGGCACATGGCCCTTTTGCAGTCACTTGTGCCACTCCTTCCTGCAAGTTCCAGGTCTGGGTTCTTGTGTTAGATTTTCACCATGTTCTCTGTAGCCCCAGCTCCTGGCTCACCATTCCGCAGTCCTGCTGAGGCTGCACTGTTGTTTGGACTGCTTTTCTCCTACTTCCATTTGGAGCAGATCTCAGGACTAGAGAGACTCTAGATGTCCTAAAAAGCTATGTTTTTGTTGGTGATGATCTTGCTGGAATCTGTTGTCCTCTGCAGTCTTAAATTCTTTGCCACTTTTTACAAAATGGTACCTGATGTGCCACTAGTATAATGCTTGATGTGTTTGCCATCAGGTCTGATGGCTACCTGGAACTCTCCTGGGTAGAACCTGTAGTATGCCTGTTGTTGCAGTTCGCTGATTCTGAAATGAGCTCACTCTCAGCTCAGTGCATGTGCAGTCCTGTCCATAGCCCTTGTATCCTTAAACCAAATGGTGCCTGATACGGCTCTAGGGCATGTACTGGGTTGTAAATCCACCTTGTCCCCCCACTGACAGTTTGAGGTCAGCCACCCTGTCTCTGCTCCTGGCAAAATCAAACAGACCAGCAAAATAGGCAGTTTTTTGTCTGGGTTCACTGCCAGAGCTCCCAGTGAGCTTCCCTTCCCACATGGTTCTAGTGAGGTTCTGGCTGCAGGGCCAATTCGGATAGCCATTTGCTGAATGCCGCTGGGGTATCAGTCACTGCAACACCACTCCATTGTGTCCCCTGCTTTCCTGTGTCTGTCAGTCTCCAGGTACTCCTCTGCTGCTGTTCTGTCCACCCCCATTTTCTGGAGTGTACCTTCTCTGTTTCACACTAGGTAATATTTCTCCATCTGTTAAACGTGTTAAACGTATTCCACTATCTTGATTCTCCTATTGCAGTCTAATTGTAATGATTATGGCTTTACTTGCTAATTGCACTGTATCATTCACAATGTGATTTTTGTTTTATCTTAAAAGTTTCAGAATCTAAAGCTGAGAGAGTTGTACTGTGAGGAAAATCCATTGTTGCTAATGACACCGATTGTGACTATACAGCAGGAGGATATCTGGAGTCTACAGGTGAAGGCTTAACTCGTCCACATACATCTTCAAATTAAAGTCCTCATTTAAGTTTTAATAGCTTTTCTTTAAATTATTCTTGCCAAGTCATCAAACGATTAAGGTAACCCCAGTCTACTGGCAATGCAGATTCCACACAAAATCTTTTTGACTTATTTACATAATCCATGTAATCCTATCTGACATGTAGAGTGAGCAAATCAGAAAAATTGAAATGTTCTTTGACCTGGAAAAGTAGAGAAATTCATTTTCAGTATAGTCTAGAAATTGTTTTCCAGTTTTACTGTTGTACCTTTAGCAGAGTTATTGCCTGCTTTCTTCTTTGCACTGGTACCCATCTCTACTGGATGAAATAATATTATCCAGGAATCATATTTGTTTTCATAAAGCAGGTTGATGACATTAACAGAAGGGATAGGAAAGCATATAGAAGCCTCCTTTGGTAAAAACAAGTAAAACAAAGTGTTCTGTATTACTGTATGGAAAGAATTTGGACTTTTGCAGGTGCATTTGGCTTCACGGCTGCTGAGAATATAGGATTGCCATAAGACTTTCAAGGATTATGTGGGATTCAATTTGCTTGGCCCAATGCTTCCCACTTGTTGTAAAAGAATTTAAAAAAAGTTTCCTCTTTTGCATAAAAGTTTTTTTTTTTTTACAATATGGAGGAAATACAACTGAACAATTTATCGTTCAGTTAAATTGTAAATGTACTGTGATGTTAAGATTATTTTGCTACTAATGGTAAAAGCTCAATTAGAGAAGTTAGAAAAAATCTAGTCAATGCTAATGAAAAATGTTCAGAAACTTAATTTGCAGTCATATCACACACACATTCTATTTATTTTGGCACTTTCTATGCATCCAGAATTTAAAAAAAATTAATGCTGGGTTCATATTCTATGCACTAAGTGGAAACATGCGTTTTCACTCAAAGACTGCGAATATCTTTGCAATTAGTGGCAACACCCAGACTATAGTTGGGGAGAACATGGCCATCAGCATATACTTAACTACTTATCCTCTGCAAGATGTTCATTTTATTATTATTATTGTTTGCCTTTTTCTTTGTAAAATGCCTCATTTTAAATTACTAGCTCATTTTCATGTTGTTCCTGTGAATGAAATTCTTAGGCCAAGAAATTATTGATTTTTAAAATTTGATTAGACATTTTCAAAACAGCGAATATTTCCAGAAAATGCATTATTTTTTACTCTTGTGTGAGTAAATATCTCAGTAATTTAATTGAAAGTAGATTCGTAAGTATAATAGTTAATTTACTTAATCCTTTTAACCTGTTTTTCTTCTTACACTAATAAAATCAGAGTGATAATAGTAGCTTACATTTTTCTTAGCTTACTGTGGGCATGACACTGTTCCAAACACTTAGCAAGAACGAAATAAAATAGTCCTTTAGCACACCTAAAATATAAACACTATTATTGTTCCCTTCTTTTAGACAGAGACCGAGACCCTGAGAGATTCGACTTATTCAGGTATTCACAGAGATAGTTTTGGACAAAAATTTCAGTTCACACAGTTGGGGTCAGATCCCAGCTGCAATATTGCCTCAGAAAACAATGTAGAAAGATGAGGGAAATGGAGTCAGCTTAGTCCTGTGTTGGGAAAGTTTGTGTGTGAGTAGTTAACCCGATACAATCCTGGTATTATAGGAAGCCCTTACCAGGCAAGATTGCTTCCCCATGGCTTAGTCCAAGAATCAAGATGACAGGGAAATATTTACCTCATCTGACTTTCAAAATTTTAAGGTCTATAAATAATATTTTTCCTAATTATATGTAGATAGTTGGGGTATTTTTGAAGGTATCACTAAAAGTTTTTTTTTAGAAATGTAAGAAAATATTTTTTTATTTTTAAAAAAGATTTATTTGAAACAAAAGATTTATTTATTTATTGGAAGAGTTATGGAGAGAGGGAGAGACTGAAAAAAAGAAAGAAAGAGAAAAAGAGAGAAATCAAGTCTCTTTCAGCTGGTTCATTTCCCAAATTGCTGAAGCCTGATCGGCCATTTGGTCTTCCGTTTGGCTGGTAGGAAGGCAGGATTCCAAGAACTTGGTCCACCTCCTCTTGCTTTTTCAGGTGTATCAGCAGGGAGCTGCTTTGGAAGTGGAGCATCTTGGAATCCAAACTATGCTCACAAGGGATTCCAGCCTCACAGGTGGCAGCTTAATCCACTGTGTCACAATGCCAACTCCTGATTACAAATTTCAATGCTTGTACTTAAAGTAGTTTCTTCTATACATTTCATCAACATTGCTGATTAAACAATTTAGATTTCATGGAATTATAAAGCTGGGATACAGGTTATTTGATAAAGTTTTTTTAAAAAAACATTTTCATCTCAAAGATTTATTAAATAATATTTAATGCTGATTACAAATATATAGAACATTGTGAGAACTTATTGCATTAGTAGAGGCCAAAATAAATGTTTTGCCAATATTACGCAATTTTATTTCCCTGATTCCATGTGATAACATTGGAAAAAAATTCCATTTTATAAATAAGATATCTAATATCAGAGAATGCAAGGACTTACTCAAATGGAGTCACAAAGATGAAAATCATATAGCTAGGATATGATATTTTTTCAAAACTTCAGTTTGATGATAATTATATAGTTGTGAAGGGCATATACCCATGTGGACCACTGATAAGGGTGGGAAGGGTCGAGAAATAGGAGAAGGTGGATGCGACCATTGTTTTCATTTTTTTTTCTTTTGCCTGTATCTGGGGGAAGGGAAGATAGAATGGGAGAAGCCAAACTCTGCATCCTAATTGCATCAGTACCAGGGAAGGGATACAGTCATCTGGTATCATCTCAGGGTTCCTGATGTGGAGCATGCTCTGAGATTTCTTCTGCTCAGGTGGTTTTGATAGTTATGAAATGCTGTTGATTTCATTGCTCCAAGGATGGGGTAATCCTTCCAAGTTCTATCGACTGACAAAGTTCACCTTAGAGTCTCTATTTGCCCAAATACTTGCTAACAAAGTTTGACTAGGAGAGTTGTCCACTTTGTTCTGCCTTCCATCCTCTGCTATGGTACCAGATGTTGCCTGCACGCCCCAGTGAACTGCCATATTCCCCCCATGCATCAGGGCATACCATCCACTGCATGCCTCCACTGCAGCAACTGAGAAGGCCCAGTTCTGACAGATACAATCCATATTCAGACCATAGATCTTGTGATTTTTCCCCATGATTGGGAGTTCTGAGTCCAATGATTCAGTATGGGGGTGGCCCCAAAGAAACTTCATCTGAGGTGATCCCAGATCTGACTACTGTGTGTGCCAGCCAAAGTGGAGTCCAGCTCAACCTGTCACCCACATCAGCCTATACATATACTGTTAGTTGTTGGATCAGTTCTGTCCCCAACCTCATCTCATGTGCAAACCAATGGATGTTGCAGCCCAGGCTAAACATGTTCACCACAAACTCAGCCCTCACACACACTAGTGAGAGCTGCAGCCTAGTCAGAGCAACTCCTAATAACCCCAGCAGACCCATCTCCAGCCTGGGTTCCTGTGCCTGCCAGTATGTGCAGCCATCTCATCCCATCTACCCCACATCCCATTTGGCTTTTGTACATACCAATGGGTACTGCAGTCTAGCTCAACACACTGACCTCACTAATCCAGCCCACACTTTTCCAGCCAGGTCCAATCCAGCTCTGGTTCTCATGCTTACTGGTGGGAACTGCAGCCCAGCAGAGGGGTGCCCACAGGTCCACTCCCATCCCCAGGTGTTTCAGGTGTTTCTGTGTTCTAGCTTGACAGGACTTACCCCCATTTTCAGCTAAATCTGAGAATCTTTGCTTATGATGATATATTTACTGTCTATAGGACACATAATAACCATTGCTTATAGAATAGGTCCAAAGTGTACTATTCCTTCTATGCTTATATAAATATATATGTGTGTCATCTCATAATTCAATATAGGAATCACATGTAAGAAGATACTTTCAAAATAACATAATACCAGTTTATTATTGGCATTAACTTCAAATTATCTCGGAGCTCCACTTAGCTAATATTCTAGCTATTCAAAATAAATTATGTATTCATAAAAATTTTCAAAATTATCTGTTATTTGAAAGTCAGAATGATAGAAGGAGAGACGGAGAGATAGAGATAGAGAATCTTCTATCCACTGCTTTAATTCCCCAAATGACCACAGTGGTTGAATCACTTTGAAGTAAGATGACTGGTACTCCACACGCATCGCAAGATTCCAGATACTTGGCTCATCTTCCACATTATCAGAGGCAATATCAGGGAGTTGGAATGTGGGCTGGCATTGTGGCACAGTGGACTGGGACATCACATGCAATGCCAGCATCCCACATGGGTGCCAGTTCCCTGCTAAGGCACCTGAAAAAAGCAGCAGGCAACTGCCCAAGCACTTGGACCTGAAGTGGGAGACCTGAAGGAATCTCTGGGATCCTGGTTTCAGCCTGGCCAATCCTGAATGTTGTGGCCATTTGGAGAGTGGCTCAGCAGGTGGGGGATCTTTCAGACTCCCCTCATCAGTCTTTCTGCCACTCTAAATTGGTTTTCAGTAATCTGTGTATTATCCAAAAGTGCACAAAATGTAACTTTAAGAGGTGTCCCAAATGGTAGACTCCAAAGAAAACGTCACTTTATATTTTATTGGTATGTTTATTCTTTCAAGAACAAAATAATGCTAGTAAGTAGGAGAAAATACAAATAATAGATGATATAAGAATTGCCAAGAGATACACCGAGTACGATAAATATGTTTCACCCAGAAATGACTTGTGGAAAACGTCATATCCAAAGTGTTTTAGCAGATTTCTACAATTTATTTGGGGAGATGAACAAGAGTTTCTTGTAGCTTTACTGTGAGATCTCACCATTGAAATTCTGTAGCTAAACACCTGCTTGCTTAAATACTTAGAGAAGATAACAATTGACGTCTGGTTTGGAAATCCTGATAAGATTTGTGCTTTTAGTTCATCTTCTCAGGGTGATTTTCGTAGGACAGGAGGGTGTTATTGGATGCTCAGATTTTGAACTGAATTGCTCAGGATTTTTGGCTGTATACAGTTGAGTTTCCCAGATCCTTGTTAACTGGAAATGAAAGGTTAGCAGGGAATGGGGGCATGGTAATTATTAAAATACTGTTGTGTTTTTTTAGCTGTTTTAGGGGTTTTATTTGGGGTGAATTAAGTATGCATGTAAGTAGTTATGTAAGTAGATACGCGGTTATGTTTACTCAAAGATAGCTAGTAAGATCTGATTTGGATTATCTTAATACTACTAGAGAATTTTTCACTCAGCCAGGAAAAAAATATGCCAAATAAACTATCCCCATACACTGTTAAACTTTCAAGCAATGTTTATGTAACTTTTGCAAAGAACTTACAAGTTACTGGCATAAACAATGAAGAATATATAGGGAAAAAAATAAGTTTTTTGTTTTCATTTTAGTTTTTGGTTTGGCCAGTGATGATCTAATTTTAATTATCCTATAATATATTTTTGTTTAAGAATGGTTTTGTTGATGGCCCCAGTGAAAAACAACTTCCATTCTCTCACTATCTCTTTTATTATTTGATATTTGATGATTATTGTGCAAATGAAAATTTCCAAAATATCTGTGGATTGAATTCAGAGGTTGAATTCATAGCAGCTAATTTTCTCCAGCAAGAAAGGCATAGTTAGTTACTCAATGCAGGAAATAATTTAGAAAAATGTCTTAAACTTTAGTGTATATGCAGATTAGCTAAGACTTCATTAGGATGAGAGTTTGATTCAGTAGATCAAGAGTGTATCTTGGATCCTGTGGATAAATTCCAAGGTCATTCTACCGGTACAAAGGCCACAATTTAAGTAGCAAGGATTTACACCTTAGTGAATATGACAAATTCAATTTTGATATTCCAACTGAATATGCATATGGTCCTTACTATATGTCATATAAACTTACTATAATTGGATTTCTGTATATGAGACAGAAATATTACTTGCCTGTTTTACATGAGTGGTAACCAACCCTTTTTGCAATGTCGGTCATTTGGAATATAACCTGTCACGAATTCCATGAAATCTTAGCTTAACAGAAAATAAAGAACAAGTAAAATCTTTGATTTAGTGAAATAGGAATCATAGAAAACAAATTTTTGCCAATCTAAGCAGCCATATTCTTCTTCACTAATTTAGGAAATAGCATCAAGATTTGTAATGAATCAGCTAACTGAAGAAAATTCTCTCGTAACTCAAGCCATAGAATTGTACCCACAGATCAGGAGCATAATCTCTCGGGGGAAAAAATGCACCATATGTGGAAAGTTCTTTTTAACCGTATGGCTGGAATGTGTTCAATTTGCTCCTCCATCAAAGGTAAATGATGCTTTTGGTGTGAATACAAACATAAAAATCTACTCCTACCATTTGTTCTTAAGTACGCCAACCAATATTCCGTTTGCATTTAAGGGTTGACTCATAGCATAGTGCACTGTTATTTGGGGGTAGACAAATTTGAGTGTCTGTGATGACAACCGTAACTCCACTGACATTTATAGGCTCCCTCAAATTACACAGAAACTGATCATTGTAAGTCAGTCAATTTCTTTTTCTCATCATTATTGTTAACAAAACCGTAAGGATCTTCTTCCTCTAGGAAGATATGCTTTTGTTGTTGGAATCTGAGTGGAGAAAGGTGACTTTCCTAGTTAATGCATGCCACAGCTGGAGTCCAGAACACTGAATGTGCAGCGTGTGCCTACACCATCGTGACGCGAGTGGTGTGTTGCTGGGTAGTTTGTATAACCCAGGAAACGTGTTCTACATCAGCATTCTACACTTCTTTTCTGTCAGTGACCAGATACTATTTTAGACAATGTGGTCACATTGACCTTAGTCACATTGACTCCCCTTTGTAGTGCAAAAGCATCTGTAGAGAGCAAGAAGTTGACTCTGTTCTCATAACAATTCACTTCTGGAATTTGAACTAGCTGTGTTTGTGAGTTCTTAACAATAGATGAAAATGGAAAATATTGCCAGGTGAAACAAAATATATACAGAATAATTCCAACCACATACAAAGTGTATGTAAAATTATTGGCATCAATATCTTATGCGTCCAATAACATGGTGATTTAGAGGTCTTAAAACCTTCCTGTTGTGTATGTCTATTGCAAAAATACTGATATACTAATTTCGTATGAAGGCCTCTTTTTTAGGTGGCTTAATATATCTACAAGAACACAAAGAAAGGCCAATGCAATTAAGAAGTTGCTCATAGTGTGAGAATGAAAGAATTTAGCATAGTGTTGCTAGACTAGGTTGGTATTGCCCTCCAACAAGCAATTAGGAAATAAGTTGGGGGCGTTTGAGGCTATCACAACAGGAGGCCGCTGCTGGTATTTCATGGGTAAAAGACCAGTGATGCTAGATGCTCTGAAAGACATAAGGCAGTCAGTTTTTCATAATAAAGATTTATTCTGGGCCTGGGGCAGTAGCCTAGTGACTTAAGTCCTCACCTTGCACACACTGGAATCCTGTATGGGTGCCAGTTTGTATCCGGGAGGCTCTGCTTCCCATCCAGCTCCCTGCTTGGGGCCTGGGAAAGCAGTCGAGGACGGCCCAAAGCCTTGGGACCCCACACCCCTGTGGGAGACCTAGAAGAGGCCCCAGGCTCCTGGCTTTGGATCAGCGCACCTCTGTTGCAGTTGCTTGGGGAGTGAATCATCGGATGGAAGTTCTTTCTGTCTGTCTCTGCTCCTCTCTGTATATCTGACTTTGCAATAAAAATAAATCTTCAAAAAAAAAAAGAAATTATTCTATACTCCCTCATAACTTTCATGTGGATCTCTAGCCATTGATATCAATGAAACACTTAAAACCTCTTGAGCGTAGAGTCTAATTCTCATTAACATTATTGTAATATACACAAAAGTTTTCAGGATTTCAATTGCTATGTCAATCAAAGGGAAGCTAAACCTTCACTTGGAAAAATTTCAAGGACTTCTTACCAATTCAGGAAACATGGGTTACTACACAGTGCTCTGGTCACACAGACCGACACACTATTGGTAGTGTTTTTAGTGTCAAAAGTGACTGTCGTAAGGGGATGAGCAAAAGATGACTTCATTATGTCTTCCAGTGTGGGAAAATCTGGCATTTTTATGTTAAAATATTTAGAAATTCGCTAAAGTTTTGGACATTTAACTTAGAGGTTAAGTTGTACACCTACAAATAATTACAAAACATATGATAATAAAAAAGAACGGCGTATTTGTTTTCTAGGTATATCATGGCAAAGTACCACAACTGGGTGACTTGAAACGATAGATTGTTTCACTGTTCTGGAGGCAGAAAGTTCTATATCAAGGTGTGGATGGGTTAGCTTCTGCCTTGGGTTGGGACGATGAATCTATGCCAAGCCTCCATCCGGTGTTCACAGATGGTTCTGCTCCCCTCTCTGCCCTCTGTGTGTGTCTGTGTTCACATTTCTTCTTAAAAGGACATGAGTCATGGTGGATTAAAGCTCACCCAGTTGACCTCCTTCTGACTTCATCAGCTTTGTAAAGGTGCATCCAAGCAGAGTCATCTTCTGGGACACGCGGGTAGCAGGTTTCAATGTATGCGTTTGGGTATGTGTGGGAAAGACCATTCAACCCACAACAAACAGTTTCCACAAACAAGAGGAACAGGGAAACTTTGAGGGAACGTGGGAGCGAGGGAAGGTTCAGGGTAAGGAGTATCATTATGCTCTTAACATTTACATAGGAAATACATTAAACTTGTTCCCTTTGTATATATATGTGCGTATGAATTGATCCTATGTCATAATTATTTCAGTGGATTTAGGCACTTGGCAAATTCATTTATGAAAATCTTTAAAAACAGACATCCTATCCTAACCCTGCTAATTGAGAATCTTTGGAAATAGGGTCCTGGGACTTCAAAGTTTTATGAAGTCTCTCAATTGATCCTCACATGTACTCGGGAGTGGAAATGTCTGGGTTGCGTGTTTTGGGCCATCCCCACACTACAGGCAAATGTTTGTGTTTTACCTTATAAGAAAGGGTAAAACCACTGGGTCAAGTGCAGTAGCTCAGTGGCTAAAGTCCTCGCCATGCACATGCTGGGATCCCATATGGGAACTGGTTCATGTCCTAGCAGCCCCACTTCCCATCCAGTTCTGTGCTTAGGGCCTGGAAGGCAGTCAAGGCCAGCCCAAAACTGGGACCCTGCACCCCTGTGGGAGACCTGGAAGGGGCTCCAGGCTCCTGGCTTTGGATCAGCGCAGCTCTGTGTGTTGTGGGTGCTTGGGAAGTGAATCATCAGATGGAAGATCTTTCTGTCTCTCCTCCTTTGTGTATATCTGACTTTGCAATGAAAAATAATAATAACAAAAATAAATGCCTAACTGGTGATTTGTATGTAATAAGATGTTTAATCATTGGTTTAATATACCAATTAATAAAATGCCTTTAGTGATAGTGGTGTTGATAGGGATAATAGTACTAAGGAAAAAGAGGGGCTTGGTTCAGGGCCCAATCCACAATGGTGTACAGACAATCGACAAACACTTTTGGATCCTTGTTAAGATTGCTCAAGAGTGTGAGCCTTCTCCCTCAATACCCCTCTTTACACATGAAGGAAACAATATGGAAAAAAAATAATAGTCTTACCTACTTTCCTGTAGCCCTTGAACCTTTTTACCCTAATTAACTATGTAAAGATTGTCAAAATATAATAAAAAAAAGAAAGAAAATTAAAAGAAAAATAAAAAGATTGCTCAAGAGTGCATTGCAGGATGTGTCATCCCTCTATGTGCTCCATGGGATTTAATTATTGAAAAGCTTCTGATTTATTCCAAGGGAAGCAAAGCCGAGGCTCCAGACCACACGCTTGCTGCATGGGCTGGAATGAAGCTTGCCATGGCTGTGACTTCCCGAATGACAGTTTGGGAGCTCATATGGATGCTGATGATGTGTTTTCACCAGCAACAGTAGTCATTGTCTCATAGGTTTGCATTTCTAACTGTTGATGAGCTCATCACTACATTATCCTCCTTCAATTGTCATCAGGGGACTTTCTTTTATAAAATCCACTGTATGTGCTACCCGTGATCCAATCCAATAAGAGATTTTGTATTTCAGAAACTTGAAAGCAACAGAAAACTTGAGTGAACAGTACAATGGACATGTGTATACCCTTTCCCTGGAATCACTGATGTTCATCAGTTTGTTCTATACAATTTGCTATTTTTCGCCTCGAAGTGTGTATTTCTTGCCTTGATATGTGTGGGTTTGCTGAGTAAAACAAATTTGGAATTGGCAAGCCATGGAGACAGTCTACCTAGAATGATTATATCGTTTTTATCAAGTAATGAGTTCTAGTAATAAAATAATGTGTCCATCAGAAAAAAGACAGGTAGCTCTTTCTCAGGAGTATCTACAGGAAATACAATATTTGTGGATCGCAAAGCATGTAGTTTATTTCAGATGTACCAATCCAGGCTTAGCTATGGCGGTTCCATACTGTCCTGCTTACTCCAGGAAGCAGAGCATAGATTCCCATTTATAATCCAGTAAAATGAGATCAGGGAATCATACCCCCTGGTTATCAGGTATTTTCACAGAAGTATTATCTAGAAGCTATTGGTATTCCTAGGGCAAGTGGTATTTAAGGTGTACAAGTCAGCTGCAGCTGGGGTATTAAAATTTTCTCTCAGTGTCAGAACATAATACCAGAACATTTGAGACAACTAAGTAATTTTAAAATGACATGTGATCACCCGGCTGATGTCACGTCTTTGTATATGAACTTTCATTTATTAAAAAATACTAAATAATTGAGAAAGGACATACATGGCATTTCTAAGAAATTTATGTTATCGGGGCCAGCATGCTGGCAGAGCAGGTTAATGTTCCACCTGCCGTGTTGTGATCTCATATGGGTGCTAGCTCATGTCCCGGCTGCTCCACTTCAGATCTAGCTCCCTGGATATGGCCTGGGAAAGAAGCAGCCTTGGGATTCTGCACCTCTGGGGGAGGCCTGGAGGAAGCAAGAGCTTCTGATCAGTTCTTCTCTGGTGGCTGTGGCCATTTAGGCAGTGGATCATTGGATGGAAGACTTTTCTCCTTCTCTTTCTGTAAAATCTGCCTTTCAAATAAAAATAACTAAGTCAGTTTTCATAACAGCAAGTTTTGAAGTCTTCATGGGACTTAGCAGCCTATGACATGATTTGGTATTTGATATCCAACTGCTGTGGTTAAACCCGAGTTCAAGGAATTCTAGAACAGCTTTCTTTTTGCTTGCCATTACACAAGGTCAGCTTATATGTCCTTTACATATTTTGTTTCTGCTGAGGAGATATGAATTTGAAT